TATACATATATATATATATATATATAGATATAGATATATATATATATATATATATATAGATATAGATATATATATATAACATGGTAACACTTTACAATAAGGGCCCATTAGTTAACGATTGTTAATGCATTAACTTACATTAACTAACAATGAGCAATACTGTATATTTGTTACAGTATTTATTAATCTTTTTAATGTTAGTTAATAAAAGTACAAAATGTTCATAGTTAGTTTATTGCTAGCTCAGGTCCATTAAATAATATGAACAGATGCTAATTTTGATTAAAAAAATCTATTAGTAAGTGTTTAAATTAAGGTGAACTAAGATAAATAACTGCTTTAGAAGTTTTTTCATTGTTAGTTCATGTTAACTAACAAATAGAATCTTATTGTCAAGTGTTAACAAAAACACTTTTTACATTTCATTTATCATTTTAGTTTAGTTTTAACTAAAGTTAACAAAATTAAACTAAAAACTAAAAAGAATAAGTGAAAAAAAATTTCAAACCAAATAAACTAAAACTAAAACCTACAATAAAACTAAAAACATAAAAAAAACCGAATAAAAATGTCAAAAACACAACACATTTCATTTAATTTTAAATTACTTAAAAAAATAAAATGAAGATGAAAAACAAATAATATACAAATAAAATATTCAAAATATTTACAAACAGTACAATAGTACGGTATATCAATGATGCTAAAATAACACTGGCACTGTGACAGCAGCAGTGTGATGCATTATTTTGATTGGATTTTGACTGAATAGATATTTCCAGAATTATTTTAAGATAGACATCAGCTAAAATAGCAGAACCCATGAATGCTAAATATAAAAGTTGGCATATATGGGTAATTACAAAAATACTGAATAAAGCTGTACATATGGTACTGTCCACAAATTCCATTTTATTGTGAGAACTAGCACATATGTTAGATAAAGTAAGATCTAACATAAAATTAAACTGGCATGAAAAGTAGCGAGCTTTAAACATATCAAAAGTCTACATGCCCTTTTTAAAATAGTGATATGGTCTTTTCCATTTTGGCTGCATCCAACAATTTAAATAATGTATATCGTCTGCTGGATTGAGATTCACATTCAATGTAGTAAAAACTTATTTTAATTATTAATTTCACTCTTTAATTATTTATTTATTAACTAAAGTTGTTTCAACATTAATTGTTTCATACAATATTTAGTTTGACATAATGAGGTTGGCAATCAATATTTTGTTGGTTTATTTATTTCTCTGATCGTATATTATTTATTTATTTATTTATTTATTTTTAATAGACAGCCTATTGATTTAAAGCTGTAAATCTTTAAAAAAAATAAGACTGATAGACATTTTGCGTACCTTTTATTAATGCACTAAACTCAAAACAGAATGATAATTTACTTGACATTTAATATTTGCAAATTGCACCGCATTGCATCAAAATGTTGATTTAGCGTTCATAGCCTATAAAGCTTCTGTGTTCCTATCACAGAAATGTAACCAATGTAACCAACACTAATCAGTTGATTTGTGTAACCACACTAATCAATGTAAACCAAATGTAACCAACACGAATCATAGAATACATTACTTACAATTAATATAAGAATAAATAATTAACTGCAGAACTGAGCAAATATGTTCAGATTTGCACTCATAACAGTAGCACTATACTGTAAAAATGACTGAAACATGTACAGTACAAATTAAAGCAATCATTTACAGCAAGATTCTATGTGAACATCTTCCTCTATATTTGTATATGAAGTTTCTATTTAACATTGTAGCGGCATAATAGGCTTAAGACTCCTGACTAATGCTATCACAAGCATCCCTCAATCACCACCTCAAAGCTACATAATAATGTGCGTTAGTGTGGAGCATTTTGTTCTCTGAGCATTTACACAGCGTTTGAGCCAAGCACACTTTTGCTTTAATCTGTCTCACATCCTGCTTATTAAACTGAGAGAGCCAGAAGAGCTTAAAGCTGCTCTATTAGGTAATCACATCATCTGCAAACATGTTTATATTAGGTTTTAAGAGAGGATGCTGAAGAGAATGGCCTGAGAACTGGTCCATATGTTACTTACCACATCTGAAACTTAGCTGCATACTTGCACTGCATTGCATCAAAATTTCAATTTGCTTTCATAGCCTAAATCTGCCAAGTTAATTTCACAGAAATGCAACCAATTCAAGGCCAAACCAAAACAATTCCAAATGTCCCCGGAACAGTCCTTCTAATACAATTATATATATATAAAAAAATCATTATCAGCAATTCATTTGCTGTTAAATTATACACTAATTAATACAAATACACAGCACTAAATATATCTATCAAAATCTAAATATATCTGAGAATTGGCCCATGTATTACTTAATGCATCAGGAACTTTTTTTGTATTGTTTTTTTGTCAATCATGCAACATAAATTGTAACTACTATAGACTCATAAATAAACTTCCCCCCTCCATAGCTAGTATTTTTTTCCAAAAACACACAAAAAAGAGCCTGAGCTACAACTGCATATATCTTCCACTTGCAGCCTTTGAGATAAAAAGTCCCATTTTTGTCACAAACAAATTGCCCAGAGGTCATCTGTTTTGCAAGCTTATGCGTTGAATGTATTACACAGATAATCTGCAGTTTAATAAAGACCGATAGAAATGAGAAACAATTTACTTTACAAGTTTTGTATTTAATTGCACCAAGGTTCCAACTGATTTATTTTGGAGGATTGAAAGATGGAGGGGTGGAGGACACTAATATGACTGCTTTTCTCTATTTAATTATGCTAATAGAATTCCTGGGAATCTTGTTGAAATAAAGAAAGAAAGAAAGAAAGAAAGAAAGAAAGAAAGCTTTTAAAAAGTCTTTACATCAAAGACTTTATACTTCAAGAAAATTCAATCGAATTGCATTGTCTTGAAATGGTAATTAGTCAGGATAGTCATTTTTCTTTGTTAAAAAGTAATTACAATTAATTTACAAAGAAGTGGACTCCTTATGAAAGTGCCAAATCATGTGGGCAACAGAACTAGCTGCAGACTCCAAAAATAATGAGCAGATGTGCAAACAGTCAAATTTGCACATCTCATGGGATTCACTTAGACAGAAAGCCATTTTCACACCTGAAATAGGTGTAATATGACTGGCAATTTCTGTATTTGTGCTGCAAGCCACGGTAAACATTTATTAACTGGGTCATTCTATGAAACGGGTGCCTTTTCCAGTTTTACAAAGGGATTTTAAAGTAAATATGTAAACGATTTTGGTAACACTTTATTTTAAGGACCAATTCTCGCTATTAATTAGTTGCTTATTAGCATGCATATTACTAGCATATTGGCTGTTTATTAGTACTTATAAAGCATATATTAATGCCTTATTCTGCATGACCGTATTTTGATCCCTTAATCCACCCCATACCTAAACTTAACAACTACCGTACTAACTATTAATAAGCAGGGAAAACTCTTAGTTAATAGTGAATACAGTATGTGTTCCCTATTCTAAAGTGTTCCCATGATTTTAAACATTCTATCAAACAAACAATATGTTTAAGTTAATAAATTAGGTTGTGACATTTAAAGCCAAATTAATTTCAGTATACACTGTGATATAATTATGCCTCTATAAAGATAACAAGGTTGACTATTTTAGTTTAATCTGACATTATAAGCCTTGTGTTTAGGTATTTTTAAAATAACAATAAAAAGTATTTAAAAGGAGGAGGCTGTAACTGTTCACTTCTTGAAAGGAAGATGCTAAACGTCTTTTGTTACTTATATATTCTTAAATATATAATGGTAACAGGGTTAACACTAGAGGTGTGTGTTAATGACAAAAAATGATATCTCAATATTTTCTGAAAATTGATCAATAATTAAACAATATTTTACTGAGTGTGTTATTGTGTTGGTACTTTGACAGGTTTAGGACTGCCGTGGACAGCTGACTCCCAAAGCTTTTGATATTCTTCATATTCTGTGCGGTGGTTAGTTTGCAGGAGTAACAGAACTTATTCAGTATTCAGCAACAAAACTGCTGTGTTTTGCTCAGAGACTCAAAACAGTTCTGCTGTTTCTGTTGTGGCATTGTTTGAAACTATTTTCACTGACCAAAAACAGTTTAAAACAGGAAACTGTTGTGTCTAAAGTTTAAGTCAATTAATATTAAAGGGATAGTTCACCCAAAAATGAAAATTTTATGTTTATCTGCTTACCCCCAGGGCATCCAAGTAAAATCAATATCACATTTGCAATTGTGCTGATATTTGGAGAAAAAAAAACTACTCTTCGTGTGATATTAACTATATCAGATGATATAAATATTTCTGTCATGACAACTCTCGGAGGGATTGGCATGGTAATGTACATGACAATGTTAATGTATTTGGTCTTGG